TTTTATATAACGCTTTTTATAATATAAAATAAAATTATTTTATTAATTATTGCGATTCTGATTCCCTGCTATCTACAATTGGTGACCCCGAACGAGCAAACTACAACTGCAAGGAACCCCTTTGGAGCATCCCGAAATAACATCCAAGACTAGAACATAAGATCCCGACAGAAGATTCCACACCCGACAGAAGATTACACACCCGACAAATTTCCACACCCGACAGAAGATTCCACACCGGAGAGAAGAATCCTACACCCGACAAGACATTTTGAAGATCCCACCCAAGAAAGCAATTTCCGTTTATGGTTGATACCTTTTTTCGGGTAAGTGAGGTGTTTTTGTTGGTATCTTTTATCGATCTTGATCATATATGATGCCTACAGACAGTCTGACATTGCCAGTTGATGAGCCTCAAACCTCAGTTGATAATTTTTGTAATTTTTCTAATTATACTGGTAACAAAGACGAAGTTTTTTCTATTAATAAAAATACCGATATTCTAAATCTTTCCAAATCAATAAATCAAAATTTTAAATTAATGATGGGTGATTTAATAAATAAACAAAATTAATTAGAAAAAAAGATTATGATATTGGAAAATAAGGGATCCTCTCACACATCACACATCACATCAAAAATGCTACTGTAGATCTTCTTCAAGATCTAGAAGCAGAAATAGATATTTTCATAAATTCAATAAGGAAAATGAATCGAATGATCCATTATGTTTTTATCACAGTAAATATAAGAAGAACGCATATAAATGTGCAGGACCTTCTTGTTTAATGTACGAAACTTTCAAAAATTCTATTCCAAAAAACGAGTAAAATCAACATTAGGTAGTATAGGTGGAAAATCTTCTAAAAGATTATTTCTTTTTGATAAATTAAATAATTTAGAATTCTTGGTTGACTCAGGAGCTGATATTAGCGTGGTTCCAAACAAAATTTTCAAAGGATTAATAGATAAAGAGTTTATTCTCACTTCAGCTTCTGGCAATACAATATCTACTTATGGAAAAAAAATTCTTAATATCGATATTAGATTGCGAAGAGTATTTCCTTTTCTTTTCACCATTGCAAATGTAACTAAACCAATTTTAGGTGCAGATTTCTTAACTCATTTTGGCCTAATTTTGGATTTCAAAAATTCTAAAATACGCGATAGTGAAACTTCATTAGATTCTATTGGAAAATTTTTTAATTTTAAAACTAAAGACAATTCACCTAAACTATTTAATTTTGAGACTAAATATACGGAACTTTTTAAAAAATATCCTGGAATTTTTTCATCTCCAAATTTTAATTTATCTGCAAAACATAACGTTAAATATCATATTATAACAGAAGGAAACTTACCTTTTTGTAAACCTAGACGTTTAGATCCTAAAAAATATCAAATTGCTAAACAAGAATTCGATCAAATGATTGAATTAGGCATTTGCCGACCTTCATCTTCTTATGTCACTTCTGCTTTACACATGGTCAAAAAAAAAGACTCAAAAGATTGGAGACCTTGTGGAAATTACAGATTTTTAAATAAAGTAACAGTACCTGACATATTTCCTTTAAGTTTAATTTCTGACGTTAATGTTAAATGTCATGGTTGTAAAATTTTCTCAAAAATCGATTTGGTTAGGGCCTATCACCAGATTCCGATGGCTGAAGAAGATATTTTTAAAACAGCAATCACCACTCCTTTTGGATCTTTTGAATTTCTCAGAATGCCTTTTGGATTGCGAAACGCTGGCAATACCTTTCAAAGATTCATTACCGAAGTTACTAGAGGCTTAGATTTTATTTTCGTCTATTTAGACGACATTTAAGTCGCTAGCAAAAATTCAATTGATCATTTTAAACATTTGGATATTTTATTTGAAAGATTACACTCTTTTGGCGTTAACGTTAAACCAAGTAAATGCATTTTTGGAGTTGAAAAAATTAATTTCTTAGGTTTTACTATTTCAGCGGAAGGATTAGTTCCTTCAGACGAAAAAATAGAATGTATTAAAAATTTTCCTAAACCGAATACTCTCAAACAATTACAACGTTTTGTTGGTATGATAAATTTTTATCACAAATTCGTTCCAAAATTCGCCCAAATTTTAGCACCTTTTTCACGATTTTATAACATTTTTAGACAAAAATAAAGTATCTTTTCTGGCACATCCTTCAGAGGAATCCATTCTATCACTTACAACAGATGCTAGTAATTCTTGTGTAGGTGGTGTTCTTGAACAAGAAGTAGATGGTGTTAGACAACCCATCGCTTTTTTCTCAAAGAAATTAACCAAATCGCAATTAAACTATAGTGTTTTCGATAAAGAATTATATACAATCTACCTTTCAATCAAACATTTTAGATATATGTTAGAATCAAAAGATTTTAAAGTTTTTTGTGATCATAAACCAATTGAAAAAGCAATTTTCTCCAAAACATAGATCTCCTAGACAATTCAGATATATAGAATATATTTTACAATTTACTAATAAAGTTTTTTACGTAGGTAGCAAAAACGTAATAGTCGCAGATTTTTTAAGTAGAATGGAATTAGATTTTATTTCAGTAGAAAAAATAGAATCGGAATTAGATTTAAAAATAATAGGAGACGAACAAAAATTAGATTTAGAATTAAAAGGTTTATTAGAGTCACAAAATCAAAATAATAATAAAAACAAATTTCATTTACAAAAAGTTCAAGTTAATTTCCCACCAGCAGATATATGGTGTGAAAATACTAATAATACTTTAAAACCTTACATTCCCAAGTCACAACGTTATAATATTTTTATTAAAGTACATAACGTGGCGCACACAGGAGGTAAGAGCACTTTAAAATTGATAAAAAATAGATATTTTTGGCCAAGAATGAGTAAAGATATACACTTATGGTCAAAATCTTGCATAAATTGTCAAAAGGCAAAAATTTCTAAATATACAAAATCACCAACAGGTGAATTTTCAATCCCAAAAGATAGGTTCCAACACATCCATATAGATATTGTTGGACCCCTTAAACCTTCAGGAGGTTGCTCCTACCTATTAACACTTATAGACAGATATACGAGATGGGTAGAAGTTTATCCTTTAGCAACAATTACTACAGAAGTAATTATAAAAACATTAATTAATAATTATATAGCTCGTTTTGGTGTACCTACACACGACCAAGGTAGCCAATTCGAGTCACATTTATTTAAAGAATTTAGCCGAAAATTAGGTTTTAAAAATTTACACACTACTAGTTATCATCCAGAATCAAACGGAATGATAGAACGATTCCATAGAACATTAAAAGCATCTCTTATGGCCAAACTGCATAACAATAATTGGAAAGATGAACTACCATTGATTTTATTAGGTTTGAGAAGTGCAGTAAAAGAAGATTTGAATTGTTCTTCCGCTGAACTAGTCTATGGACAATCCTTAAGATTACCAGGAGATTTTTTTGTAGACAGTAGTGAAACTTTTGATACTGATTCATTCTTAATTAAATTACAAGAACATTTCGATAATATAAAACCCACTAAAATATATAGACACGGTACAAAGACATTTTTCATTTCACCAGATTTGATGGAAAATGATTTCGTTTTTGTTAAAGTTCAAGGTATTAAACCTTCATTAACTCCTCCTTTTGAAGGACCGTACAAAGTCATTAGTAGAAATGATAAAGTTTTTAAGATTTTAATTAATGGCAAAGAATCATTAATTAACATAGATAGGTTGAAGCCAGCCTTTTTATTAACAGAACAAGATGTTCAAAATGTTTTTTCAAAACCGAAGAAAAAGGTTTCTTTTGTTTTAAACCCAATAAGTTATAACTAAACCATTATTTTTATATGGTTGGTTTCTTTATCTTTTTTTGAGCGGGAGGTTATGTGGCGACATCATAGCACCACATAGTGTTACCTTTAGTTTTGACTTTTACGTCAATTTATTTTAAGGTTTCTTACAGTTTTTATTTGAGGTTGGTCAAGTGTCAATGTCAGATGGTACCATTATAATAACCACATATATTAATGATTTTGGTCGATAGCTGCGTACACTAGCACCCTACTTATCCGATGAATGGTAACCATGGAAAAAGAAAACAAAAAAAAGATTGATTGATTACCGATTCGAAAATACAAGACATACCTTTGACACAACAATTTTTATATAACGCTTTTTATAATTTAAAATAAAATTATTTTATTAATTATTGCGATTCTGAGTCCCTGCTATCTACACTTATCTTACTTCAGATCATAATACATATTCACGCATCCATCGCTGACTGTAGGCATTTAATATTTTAAGTTCTACCACTCACTTACTCAAATTAAAGCTGTAAAGTTAACTAATATTTCATATTGAATAAATGTCATGTTATTATTTGTTAAAAGTTCATAATACATTTATTAAAATAAATGTTTGAAATTGTTCTGAAGCTGCGTCCTTTGTTTCTCCGTTGGCCTTTCATGAGAACAGAAGAAAATACTTATCATAAGTCTATAAGAATATAAATATGATTCGTTCTAAACCTCAAATATAATAATAATATAATAATAATAATAATAATACTCTCCCTAATTCACTCACTTACGAGTGAATTTCAACCCCTGAAGTCGACTGAACGACTTGTGTAGGGGAAGAGACGGCTATTATTATTATTTGCCGTGGTGCTCCGGGGCGACTTAAAGATGGTGCCATTTGACTTACAGGTGAGGAAAACCCCACCCACCATCATCGAGACGGTAATGCATAGCGATTTTATAATCTGCATGTCATATTAACAGAAATTGAATTTCTATTAATACGGCACACACCAAATCCTATACCGAACCATGCAATGTAATGAAAAATCCACATGGTCTGGTGTAGGATTCGAAGCCTCTGACCACAAAATTGCCTATAAATGAATATAAGCGCGTGAGACCGCTACACCACCGACCTGAAATATGCAGGGTGAGATCAGCTACAGAACAAAATTATAGTTATTTTTTTTGTTTTAGAATGAAGAGTGGATAGAAGTCAAATTAAAAGAAGAAAATACGCAATACGACAAACTAAATTTATTTGTAGAGACACTGATGATTTCAAATTCCTCCATCTCTAAATTTTGGGCAATTGACAATGTTAGAGTTTGTCATGAAAGTGGTAATACAAATAAATAATGAATGTTAATAAACTGATGTACCATTTAATCAAAACATTTTTTGCAGAAGTAAAAGTCTCATATCTAAAATTCCAGAAAATTGAAGAAAATATCCATGATGGCAATATTACTTGCCAATTAGTTAAAAATCCTACCTGGAAACCAAAGAAACTTATTTTTGACAATTCAACAGGTATTTTATTTGCACTGTATTTGAATACATCATTTTTGTTTCCGTGCACCATGTCGCTATACCAAAAATGCAAGTAGAGTACTTGCCAGTTTAGATCATTGTTTTTCAACCCTATTGAATACGCGACCCCTCTACAAGTAATAAAATCCTTGCGACCCCCTCCCCCGTAATCAAACTATGTCGTGTACTGGATTAAAAACAGTTTTTAGTTGCTTTTAAAACAGATTCGGGTTCTTTTAAGAAAACAAAAATAATGCGGAATATTTTCTATTAGTGATGAGAGTGGATATATATTTTGTGGTTTTAGATAAATAAGCACAAATTGATTATAAACAGGTGAGTAATTATATACCTCAATTATTATTTTATATAAACATAAATGATTTTAGGTAGTTTGAAAAGCAATTATAAATCGAAGATATTCTGAAGATTTAAAGGCTTGAAGAACTTGATAAACAATGGATATAAGTTTAGTAATTGCTGTAACAACCTACGGTAAGATGTAGTTTATTTCTAGAAATAAATATAGTCAATAAATAATACTAATAAAATTAGATTAATTGGTACAATAAATTTTATAAAATCAAAGCAAATAATCTTAAACGTCACCAATTGGGTGAAAAGACAAGTGCATAAAAAAAAATGATTATGTATAGATAAAGTTAGATTTAAATATTCTTAGCCGTTTTTCCAGGTCTTCTACATAGTTTTAAATCTTGTACGATGGTGTGGAACCCTTCATGCAGAGTCCGACTCACACTTGACCGATTTTATTTTAAGTAACGAAATTTGTGTCTACCAATATGTAATCATGCTTTATATTTATTGAATTATTTTATTAAAACCAATTTAATTATATTGATTTTTTTTTTAATTTCAGTACATCAGTTGGCCACATTGGTGTCGCATTCGGTTGTTGTCACTGATAGTTTAATTTTTATCAATATTTATCAATTCTAACTTTTCTTTATCTGTGAGCATTAAATTTGTTTATTTATTTACAGACGGAAACGTTCAAGAGAATACATAAATAAAATAAAATTAAAATAAACGAATTAAATCCGCAATTTAAAATATTAAACGTTTAAATAAAAATAAAAGATTAAATATAATTCGGTTAAGGCGGAAATTATAACTCAATTAGCAGTATAATTAGAAAGTTACTGCAGGTTGACTTATGGTCAGTCACTATTAGCGCCGCTCTTACTTTGACATCTGGGTATACGCAGATGCGGTTTATGACTTCCTACTGTATGTCAGCACATTCATAGCGCTGAAACACGGTAGGAAATCTGAAGATCATGCCCGCTCTATGTCACTTTAAACCATACGTGAATTGTGTGCTGCAGTCCAGGAGGAATTCATGAGCGTACAAAGGCGTAAAAGCAGATGAAATCCTACCTGCTGATAAAATTGTAATTATTTTTGAATGACAGAGTTGAATAGTTTTGTTATTATTTTGTAGTTTGGTTCACAAGTAAAAAATGGAGTTAATTCTTGCTACTGGTATTCTATATATTGAGTTGTTTTTACAATAGGTCTGATTATTAGAAAGTATTTTAAATACATTAACTTTATATTTTTAATATATTGGTTTTCTCTTGATCAAATGAAAAACTAACAGAATATAATGTTTTTATTATATCAATATATTTTGTCAAATATAAACGGCCTTTACATGTATTAAGAAAATAAATTTATTTTTTAGCATTTGGCACATTACTGTTAATATTGCTTAGTAGTGAGTGGTTTCTTTTTTTAGAAATTCTTCCTGACTAAACCCGATTTCTTGTTTTTGCTCCTGCAGATGTATGTTTTCTTCGACTGATTGCTGTTGGTTGTACTTTTATTTTCCTACTTCTTTTAAACGTCATTTTATTAAGTATTAAATCGACAGCTTGATTTGACGTAACGATTTTTTTTAAGTGATTGGTAAGTTAATTCATTGCTTTTAAACCACCAGAACTTGGATTTTGCTTAAACGTTTCCACTAATCTGTTAACTTCTTTTCTTAAATTTAACAGTGACGCTTGATACTGAACTTCAAATTGTTGAGTATTTATATCATTCGCCACATTCTCGGAAGGAGGATTCTCATTGCTTGGAATAGTGAAATACGTATTCTGTTTACTAAAATTGGCTACAGAGTGTTCGAACTAGTATTTGTCATACTTTCATAAAATGTTTCATCGACTTCTTCCAAAGCTAGCTTAGCAAACATAATTCGATCTTTAGTGTCTATCTTAGGTGAGTTTTGGAAGACAAAATTATGCTGATTTTCAACAGCGTAAAGATGTTTGCAGAATGTTCCACTTTTTCCGGCGACACAATCACAAAACGCTGCATCGATGTTTATTGTAAAAAACACTTTATCATCTTTACTTGACGAAACATTGAATTCATGCGAATTTACTCGAATCACTGTTAACGTGTCTTCTCTTTTTTTGCAAAATCAGAATAAAGATTGAGTTTGTTTCGCCTCATGTTAGCAAAATCCAGTAGCCGACGATGATGGTACTTTTCAAAAATTGTGGTTATAAAGTCAATAAGTGCACACACATTGAACACACGGCATCTCTGTAGTATAACATCTTTCAGTATTCTAATTGAAGCTTCGGTGTAATTATTGGTATTATGGCCACGAGTAATAACATCAGATCTGTAAGCTATACACCAATCTTCTTTTCTTTTCCAAATTTCATTTAAATGAAAGCATAGTTTTTCATTTTCTTCTACAAAATTATTAAATCGTGTTTCGGCTTCAGTAGGTGTAATTGCATACAACAAATTACGAAATTCTAACATAATGTGTTGTCTTTTTGTTTTATCAATACCATGACGTCCATCGCAGAGCCAACGCCAAAAAGCTTGTGAGACATGAAAAGCACAAAGCAGTAATCGAGATTCTGGAAAAACAGCTTGAAGAGGATTCCTTTCAGCTTGACTGTCATCCGTCATAATAACACTGGGTTCGAATTTTTTTTCGAAACTGTCTTTTTCAAGTGCCTCTTTGATAGCCGAGAATGTTAAAGTGTAGTTAGCTTTCGACTGTTCAGTGTGCAATACACAAGCTATAGGAATGGCACCCACTTTATGCGCCTTAAAAGAAAATGTTACATTTGTATTTGTCTGGTCACATGAACTAGTTGTATCCACAAACACAATTTCATCTGAAAGTCCCTTAACAAAAGCACGTTTCATAATGGGTGTTATAATCACTATTATCCTAGGATTTTCCTTGAATGTAACAACAAAACTTTCCTCTTCTAATTTAATTATTCTTTGCATAATCACTTCATTTATATTTTGTTCTGCTCTGTCACCATATCTTGAAGTTCTCCATTTTTGAAATAAATAGTATACATGATTATCAATTGGATTCAAATGACCATTCGCTAAGTATGTAAAACTATCTGCCCCGTATTTTTCTATCAGTTTTATTTCATGATAAGTTTGAAAATTACGTTCAATATTAGGCTCGCAACGTAGATAACTAAATGCCTCAGCTACTTCAATAAGATGGAAATGTTTAAAAGATACATTTATTATAATATTGAGTCCCCTTTTTAAATTTTCGTAATTTCTCTGTGTAAACCTATTTATTTTCTTTGCACGAAAGTCTATCTTAGCGGTACATAACTTATTGCGACTCCTATCTTTAGTTTCTTTGGCAGTTTTGTTGTGCGATGAATGCTGACATACAAATGTTTTTCGAAAGGCTAATCGTTTTATTTTAGGGTAAGTATACCTTACAATCCAATTTGTTCGAGTGAGCAGCGAAAATTTCATTAACCACTCATCACTAAACTTGTAATCGTTTTCATAACTGTCTTTTAACTTGCAAATAATATCCAAATGAAAAATGTCCCGTGTTTCGTACTGAAACTTCGAAATTACGTGGTCGTCACAAACTTCTTAAAGAAAATCACTCAAGTCTTGCTCGGAAAGAGTCATTTTTGTAAAAAGCTTTTAAACAACAAAATGCTAATGCTTTTTTTAGGTTATAAGTAGTGATGGCAACACGTTACAACTAAATGAAACACGCGGCCAGGCGGTAAAGTAAACATTTCAAAGTTTCGTGCGAATCGGCTCTCGTGTTGCCATGCGGTATGAATTCCACCTATAGGAAGAGCAGAAGCCTACTTAAAATAATACCAGGTGACAACACGTGTAGTAATTATAGGGTTAACACGCGCGTATTGGTTTACAAATCCCTACGTGATTTCTGCGCTAGCACGAGGTAGTATTTTATAAATAATTTTTAAAAAAATATGCATTTAATTCCTCCTGCAATTTAACACCTTTAGAGTGCTGACATACAGTATGAATTCATAAAGCGCTGCGTGGATCGTTTAAGATTTAAAACTGACTTTATTAAAGATAGTGCCAGTCCTTAATTGTGGATTTTTAACGGTAGCAAATAGTGGCGACTTTATAGCTTTCGTATCAGTTTGAAATTTTTAAAAAATATATATTTATTATTAACATCCTCTAAATCTCCTAAAATTGCCATTTATTATACCTCTTCCATATTATGTATATTATAGACAACAACAAACATGAACTATAATTAAAAGTTTTTAAAATGAGGTTAGAAATAAGTCTGATTTTAGCATGGAATTTGTTTGACTCTAATTATGTTGTCATTATTAATGGCTGACGTTCTAGAAATTTGCAATATCTCTCTATTGAATCTGCAGAACATATATTTACAGACGGAAACTTTTAAAAGAATACATAAATAAAATAAAATAAAAATAAAATAATTAAATTTAACATAATAATTTTTTAGAGCGCATACTGCACTTCAATGAGTTGTACGAAAACTCCTTGCCCAAAACTAAAATAAATATATTCCGACCATGGTGTAAGAATACAGGTGAAGCAGTGCGCAGGTTTTATGACGTTAACATCGATATTGTCACGGCCGCCTACAAACTGCACTGGCTTTGTTTACATTTTGTAATGATTGTCAAGATATGGTCAAGATGTTACTCTTTTATTTCCTAGTTATGTAATCATTGTAAAACTGAAAATATATATTTAGATGAAAATAACAACTGTAAAATCACATCAAGTCATGCTCAATAATACAAGAAAATGCCAAGAAAACTCATTATAGGCAGATATTGGACCCTTGTTCAAAGAAATTCAAATTAAAAAAATATTTTGTGCGCTTTTTTGTTATTCGGAATTGGTTTGTTCATGTTTATAAATTGTTGTTACATAAGGTTTACTTTTTTATCTTGCTTGATACTTTGTGATCTATACTTATTTGGCTCGTGGAATTCTAGGAGTGACGGATTTTTCTGTACACTCCTATAGGTGCAAATCTATATTTGATTTGGTGCATTTTTAGTTATTTCTTTTAGTTCTTCATAAAGACTTTCAATAGTTTTCTCTAAAATAACAATTTCATTTTGGTGGTCACATCTGAAACTATGAATTTTTAATAAAACATTTCTATTTAATTCCTTGTAATATTCAATAGTCCTACATGCTAAGTTATGCAATTTTTATTTCAAAGCCACAGGTACCATATACAATTTTCTCATTAAGAATATTTTTTGTTAATAAGGTAAATTCGTACTTACGTTTCTAGTTTTGGAGATACTAGAGAGTTGAAGTGTTTCCAGTACGTTAACGTAAACGTGAACGTCAACGCACAAAAATAATGTTTACGGAATAGTCCAAAATATGAGTTGAAGTTGTTAAGCGCATTGTGACATTTACGTGTCATGACAGATAATGACAATTATTATTAGGATTTCTTCATTTCCAATTAAAATAGAGGTTGTTATTTGCGTTACGTGCATACGCCAGAATCCGCAAGGTTACTTACGTATGTACGTAGACGTGAACGTGACGGATATTTGAATGCGCATGCGTAGATGTCAATTCTCACGTATACGTTTACGTTCCTAGCATCACTTCAACTCTCTATTAATAAAGCTATCCGTAAAGGTTTGTGGATATCTTTTGTCTGCCTTATTAATTTATCGTCACATTCTGCAGACAATTGTCCTTTTTTCAACTCTGAGATTTTCAGTTGAAACTACTGTTGGTTTTAAATTTCTGCCAGTTTTAGGGGAGCAGTTTAATTAATAGCCTCTGTTGTAAGGGTATTTTGAAAAATGTGTAGAAAAATACAAGTTTAAAAAAGAAACAAAACCTACAAAAATAATTATAATTCAATTTAGTTTTGCAAAAACCATACCATTTGTTAGGTTATTTGTATCTTTCCTCCTGCAAGCATTGATATATGCTTTAAGTACGTCTGTTTTCGACATCCAAAATACTTAATGTTTGTTCCTCTTGTTTTTCGAGAATAGTTCTTATAACCATACACTGCACAACCGGGCTAGTAACTACACTTCCTAAAATAGTAGATTTTATTATAATTAGAAACTATTTTTTTTAATCTTATAATACAGCAAACATATGACATACCCTAACTTTTTATCAATTACACTATCAATTTAATTAGAAATTAATTGAATAATACGTACCAATAATTACTAAAAATACATCTTGATATACAGGGTGGCTCACGCTCAACGGGACGGAGCTTTATGGGAAAACGACCAAAGATATAAAAAATTCGTTTGGGAGGAATACGTAGGTTACAGACGACTACAATTTAAAATTTGTTAGATGTATACAGGATGTCCCACATAAGAAAAAAAAATTAGTTCATTAAAAATTATTCAAACCAGAGTAAACAATTAATTTCTGGGAGACTTTTTTCCTTAAAAATTCAAATAAATCGAAAACTAATAATAATAGTAATAGGGAACCTTTAGTTAACTGACATTATTTTTGATGTAGTTTTTAATTCTAAAATAAAAAACAGGGTGTTCCATTAAAAATAATATAACTTTGTATATTTTCTCTTATGTGGGACATCCTGTATACATCTAACAAATTTTAAATTGTAGCCGTCTATAACCTACGTATTCCTCCCAAACGAATTTTTTATATCTTTGGTCGTTTTCCCATAAAGCTCCGTCCCATTGAGGGTGAGCCACCCTGTATAGAAATAATATTAAATTTTAAAATAAATACATCTAAAAAGTTCTAAGCACTATCAGGAAAATATTAAAAAACTTAACTCGCTTTTTAACATTGAAGACATATAGTGGATTTTATTTGTTGCACTAGTGTCACACTCGACACTGTATTCGAACTGTCATACTCGTCAAAAGTATTATGCTATACGTGTTGCTAACATACTTTGATTTTCTTTTACTATATGGAGAATGGTCGCACTGCACAGCTTTCTGAGTGCCTTTTAAAAGGAGATAGAAAACTCCGCCATTTTGATCCCTTATTACGTGTTGCCTACATCTTGGCGCAATATTTTTAATAGGTCTGTTTTAATCATCCGCTCTGCTTCGGAATTGTCGGTTTTCTTGTTTTAATCTGACAGGTTAAAACGACTAAACCGACAATTCCGGAAGCAAAAGCGGATGATTAAAACGCACCTGATATTTTGCTTTCTGCTGTCAGTGTCAGTGAATGTTATTTTTGGAGTCACAGTTTATTGCTAAAGAATCAGTTCGCTCACTCGGACCAGTTGGAAGTTCCAAAATAACATCCACTCCAGGGATACAAATTCAGGATACGCAGAAGACTGCTGTTTTATTATGGGCGGTTGTCATATATTGTATTATTCGAGTTGCGCAGTGTATAAACTGGAACATTGACATCAAAAGTGCCGACGCAGAGTGAGTGATTCGATTCTTTAGCTATAAACTATGGCATAGGAATCAAAATGGCCGCACCCTATGTTGGGCGTGTCGGACCTCTCTTTTGCACCGTATAGTAATCAAAGTATGTGCGTGTGCTGCAGTCAAACATTTGAAGCTACACTGAATAAATCAAATGCGATTAGTACAGAAAACTTACACCCAGTGCCGAAAGTGACGTCATGCGCAAGACTGACGAAATTTCGTACCGCTAACCGCTTCACCTGTATTTTTCCACCATGATTCCGACGATAGTTTAAATAAAAACTAATTAATAAGCTTAATATGGCAGAAGTAGTTAAAAAAAGACCAGGTTTAATACTAGTATTATTTTAACAACCTCAATATTTCACTCGGCTACAATGTTTATTTTTCTCGTAATATATTAAAAACAAAAAATAAATGTGAATGTGGTCGAATTTTCGGAAAAATTATTTCCGACGAAAAGTTACTTATTGAAGGATTCTTTTTTTATTCCAAAGTTGGCAAGTCAGTGGTGTGTGGATAAGTATAAAATGTGATCCAAGAACATTTCATTGAGACACTTCAGCTCTTATTTCTTTTAAATTAGAATTATCCACTTTCTGCTCGATTCTGAAAAGCCTTTATATGATGTTAGGTTGAAAATTAGTGGGATATATTATAATGTTACACATATTGCTTCCAGACCATTTTTATTTGTTTGTGAACTAAATAACGGGTATGCTTAAAATGTAATTTAATTCGTAAAAGATTGTCGTTTTCTGGATAAAGAGAATATTAGAATATGCGGAGCTGACAAGGAAAACTTTAATAATATTAATACTGTTTGCCTTTTCCTACATATGTGAAATAACGTTCTCTTCAATGGTGAACATAATATCTAGGAAGAGCTCCAAGTAGAAAATGATTTGGTTATTTGCGTCTCAAAAATAGTATCACGATTCGACAGATTATTAAAAAAAAAACAGACACATCCTTCTGAATTATTGTAATATAGGATCTACAACCCTTCTTTTTTACTTTACTTCGTTTGCGACCGCGACCCCTCGAGAAATATTTTGCGACCTACCGAGAAATATTTTGCAAACCCCCTAGGGATCGCGACCCACAGGTTGAAAAACATTGGTTTAACGCGGCTCTTGTGTCGCCTCGTCAATAACATCTAACTTGTACTTTAATAAGTCACTTATCGGACTTGTAATGGAAATAATGGATTCATGTTGTCGAAAAATATTGCTAATCGATTCCAAATTTTTTAGATTTTCCTAAAATCTCTATCACGCCTACTACTAATTCTATTCGTCTAACTTGGCCCCAAATAGAAGAAACGGACTCGATACATTATTTTATCCTTTATGAGGTTGGTATTTGTCTTACTCGACTAATAATAATATTTAACAAAATATGTTTTACAGGGTAACGACCGTTGCTTGTCAGAACATCCCAATTTACTAAGACTAAAATCGAATGGTTTTGTTAGTACGAAAAATAACCGAATAATTTTGACTGATTTAATTCCATATACTTTTTATAATTTAACAATTTCAAGTATTCTTCAAGAAAATGATAAAAAGTTCTTTGTTGAGACACCAGAAACAGGTAAACTTATTTTTTAATTATTAAAATTAGCTATTTTTAAATCGATCATAATTTTAAGTGGAACCAAGACTGGAAGAACTGCCATCGAATATTAAACTGAAACCCTTGGACACATCAATTCATGTATCATGGGAAAGTGTAGATTGTTCAAAACAATATGGCCGACTAGCTTATACAGTTATTGTATTTAATTCTACTTTAAACTTTTCAAAAGAAATTGCTATACAAACTAATAGTAGCTATACAATTACTGATTTGATACCATTTACTCATTATAGTCTAACAATACTGACCGCAAGAAATGGTAGATATTTGTATAATAAAATTCATACCAACAATTTTACTCTGAATTTCATGACCATGCCTGGAGGTAAGTATATTATTTATGTAACTAATGTATATCTTCTTATTACTCTTATAAAAAAAGTTCTATAACCGTGCCATCACTGGTAATGTTACTACTTGAATAGTATGGTTCATAAATTGTGCGAAAAATTTAATAGGCAAACATCAAAGTGAAATACCTGTATCCACAAATGATTTTTTTTAAAACTACGAAACTATCTAAGAACATTATTTAAAAATATGTAGTGGCCCATGCTGCTCTACAAGCCGCAAGTTTCCAGGGGATATATTGTGCAAGTTTCTTCTGGCCTTTTTCATATAAATTTTGGTGCCTTCATCGTCAAATTCTCGAATCCTAGACATAATCCTACGACGTAGTTGGTTTCCGTGTTGGATAGACTACCATCCATCGATATAGAATAAAGTAAAGACAACAAAAACACTATTTTGCGATGTGACAAATGGTCGCACTTCAAGTGACAAAAAAGTGGACCGAAAATGACGACTTCAGACGTACTTTGATTTATTTGAAGTTAATAATTTTATATTTGAAGACTTAAGGGAAATGGAAATGATTTTATATCATTTATCAAAAGCTATTTAAAGAAAAATTGCATTTATTCTCACCAAAACCAAAGAGTACAAAATATAACTATAAAAGAGAAGTCACTCGCGGCATTTGCAAAGGAAATCGCGCTTCAAATGCGGACCGACAAGTCGGCGTTTTTTCAAAGAGTACAGAGCTAATTGGGCTATACCGGGGTTAAGCGGTAAGACGCGGCGGCGATGATAGTGGAATGTAACGGCCAATACACAGCGGAATCTAACGTAGCGGAGCAAACAAGCCTTACGCGTTGAACTACACCGGTATACTGCCGATCTAGAAAGGACTGTGGAGGACTGGCGGCTGATCGCGTTAGAAGGCGGTAATTGGGAGAGTGACTCCTCTTTTATAGTTATATTTTGTACTCTTTACCAAAACTGACTAGCTACACTATCTCGAGTTTGACATTGATGTAAAACTGTAAAGCAGAGGTGCGGACAATTTAGCATCGTCATACCATCTTTTCTTTACTCTATCTCAATGCTACCTTCATATCACCTATTGTCGTACAGTTTTCTTGATAAAAGTGCCCAAAAATCTTCAATGGGGCCAAGCCGAGGGTACGTATGGAATATTTTGTTGTCTGAAGTCAGTTTTGCGTTTCTCTGGAATAATGACATAAAGAAAGCCATAAGACTTGTCAGAACATTATTTTTTCTTCGACATGATTCTCTTCAATATTTTTGTCTTTTACTATACACTATTGGACAAAAGAAAGACAACTTTTATAATAAAATTAAATAAACTGCTGGCCACTCGAACTTTTGAAAGTCATTGAAGATATATAACTTACCAAAGCACTGTAGGTGATCAAGTCGTTATCAGAGAGTCCGTCTCTGGCGTGCAATATATTTTGGTAGTATTCCTCTAATTTAGCACACTTTATTTATCCTAACTTAAATACTTGTGTTCTACCACTTTTTCGTCAAAATTGTCGAGTTCTTTAAAACATATATCCACTTGTTTTTATTATATACTTGCCTTGAAAATCGCCTTGTATGTGAACTTAAACTTTTGTCTGTCCGAGTAGTTAGGTCTTATTAGTACGACATTCGGTATTAGAAAAATCTACTCCCAGCTTTTCTTTCGATTTAACATAGTTAACTCAAAAGATAATATAAAAATCAATAAATCGCAACTAGGTTGCCTTTCAATATCCTGACACCTACGCCCCCTCAAAAAGTTTAATCAATTATTTTGATTTCTCTGATTTGTTATGTAAATAAATGAATTATTATTTGAAAACACATCACATAAAGAGCTAAAAAACATGGCTTGTCAATTTTTTGCCAGTCCCTGCTACCATTTTGCAGCTTTAAACAGACAAGTTCTCGTAGATAATTGCCCCTATCTGTTAATCAAATGAATAATAGCTTAAATTAACAGTAATTTTATTCTGTACACGATGGTATTAGGTTGTCTAAGAAAAACCTCACCTACGGTTGTTGCGGTTTTAAGTGGGATGCTCTCGTGTTCAGTTTGCGTCTGCCACGTGCATGACGTCACTTACAGAGTGATATAGTGAATTTCATTTGCACTTCAAAATAAGAACCGCCCAGGAAGCGTAACATCCTATGAGGCGGATGCTATGACGTAACTCACTGAGTGATTTTCATTTGCACGTCAAAATAAGGACCGCCCACGATGCTCAACATCCTATCTTTAGGTGGGTATATGGTGGCATCTGATGGATTAAAGAAAAGAGAAATGCTTTGTGTGATCGATAAACATAACTTTACCATAGTTTTCAGAGTGAATGAAATGAATATAAAATAATTATTTTACCTTTATATAGTTTTTGTATTTTTATTTTTATATTTCTTTGTTTTTTTATTCATATATTTTTATTTTTGATAGATACGAAATTATGTTTCAGTATGTTATTCTTTATATAATATCCAGTATACCTAATAATCGAATTTTGAGTCATTTTATCTTGTTATATATTCCTTCACGTATAATATCCTTAACTGCTCCTTGTAGTTGCTTAGAACAGTAACTTTTTGTAAGATGATTAATGATAACCTGCATTATCAATCAAATTAATACTCAAATTAATATCACCATATAAACCTTTTTTTCTTGCCGAAATATTAAATTTGACAGCATTTTTCCATTGATTCCTTATCGAAATCATCAAAGGAAACAATTAAATCGCACAAGAACACTTTTTCATTTTTATACAACACTTAATATAATTGTTAATAGATAAATATTTTAACAGTATTATAAATACGCCTCTGTACAAGTACGCGTTTGAATAAAAACAGAAGCTTATAAAAATCTCCGACATCACAGTGCCAACACGAGTAAAATATCACATAGATACCAATTCCTGCTAAAAACAAATATTTCATGATGCAACATTTCTGCAAGGCGGATGCAGAGCTAAAATCTAATTGGAAAAATCGATCAACAGACTGTGGAGGCATAACTTAACATTAACGGCAGTTACGTCACAAAACAAATTGAATTTAGATTTTTCATATTTTATTTTACACTTTTCATTTAGCGGTTGAGCTAAACACATTGCCATGAGTCAAAAGAATGGTGTTTTGTAATACGATAATTCTCTGAGAAAAAGTAGATTAATTTAACAAGAGTTCTAAAACCTACATGTACAACTAAAAATAAAAACTGCAAGGCTTTTAATTATCTTCGGGTCCAATGAAGAAATCCTAAGTTCAATGGATCAATATTAAAAATGCATCAAAATTAAACACGAATGAACAAGAAGTTTTTATTGACAGGTCACGCTAACTATTCCCCGCGTTTTTCACCTTTTGGCATCGTCTGCAGCGGAACTTGGTGACTCGCCGGGTAACCAGTCACCTTATGAACGGTTACCGTTATTGTCATTTCTTTAAATTCATTCCTTTTTGTTCGATATTTTAAATCCCCCTGTAGATATCATAGGTTTTTTGGCACCATTCTAATGAGCTCAAAACTGGGCAACTTTTGCCTAATTTAACCGACTTTCTATCTGTTACCGTTTAAGAAATAGCAATACTATTCCTATGAAGTAGTAGGGACCCCGTAAAATTTTGCAACACATTTACAATTCCTATCAAGACATATCTTATACATCTTCTCCAAGAGTCAGCTGTTTTTATCAAGACTTCAGAGGTTATCAGGTAACTTACAACGAAGAGGAAAGTGTGATTCAAGAATCAGCGATAGTAAGTCAACACTTTTTCTTCAAGAACAATTGCGCTGTAAACGATTTTCTCTCTCACCCAGCAGCCACCGCTGTGTTCTTATCTGGTACCTTATTCTCGAACTCATCAGAGTGTTCTTACACTCTCCTATCGACTGCTTCATCACTAGTGTTGCCAGACGATCAAAATTAAATTGTTGGACAATGCTATAGAAATTATCTTTTTTTTTATAATTTTATCGTACAAAATTGACCTATTAGTGTGATGTTATGGAGGCTGGTTAATTTAAGAGTTTGTGGGGTTAAGGTTAGGGTAATTTGATAATAATTTTATTGAGTACACATATAAAAAACAAAAGAAAAAAATAACACTTAACCTATAATAATATTCTTGTTCAGTTAGTGTTCCAAAAATAATTTCTTATAATCCTTTCTGATTTTGATATTTTAATTATTTTGACTATACATTTTTAAAGATGTATTGAATGTTATCATTTTATATGTAGGTTTAAAACTTACACATCCTTTATCCAAAGGACCCCTCACTTATGTCCTTATGTAAAGTGGCGACCGGTCAAACTTTCGGAAACTGTGGTATGTTATTGTACTCAACCTAGTAACCAAAAGTGTCAATAGGCTCAACTCAATCCTATGACTAGTATTCGATATACAAGGTGTTAAAGTTGAAAATTGCCCAGTTTTCGAAATTTTTATTTTCAAACTTAGGAGCTAGATTGAATTTCTGTTGTATACATACGTTTACTACATGTTTTAATAATACATTAGTACATATGTACAATTAAAAATATTTTTAGTTACAGGGTGATTCACAAATGAATGACGATATATAATTTTTCTAAAATCTCACTAAATTTACTGTGACGTCAGGGAAACAATTTTTAAAGAAATACTACACAATACGGTATTTTGGCAATAAAATATTATACCATACACATTTCTTATACATGGTGTTCTAATAAAAATAGGTAGATTACCCTATATATTTTAAAATCTTATGGTTAGGAACACATCCAATGTAATGTTATTAACTTACTCAAAAGTCGACAAAGAAATGCAAGGTCGTCTTTTTAATTATTTTTTGGTGGTCCATAATTAATCTGTGGCGAAAATGTAGTTATTAAGTGTTTGCAAAAATATATTGTAATTTATTCGTGAAGCACCCTGTAACAATTATTTTAAACCAGTGGCGGCTTTTGTCCAAAATATTGGGGGTTCATAATGACAGAATATAGATTTCAGTACAGATGTAGGTAAAAAACTTTCAGAGTCTTCGGTATTTTATACCTATCTATGCCTATACCTTTTCAAAATACTGAAAGTTTTTTACCTACATCTGTACTGAGATCTATGTTCTCTGTTGTTGTGAACCCCCAATATTTTGGTCACGAGCCGAAACTCTTTTAAACTGTCCCTTTTAATGGACATCTCAGCAAAACTTATATATTCTACATAGAGACATCTAGCTTTTCAGTTTGAAGAAAAAATAAACTAAAATCAGCAATTCTCCACTTTAACACCCTGTATCTCGAAAACTGGTCATAGTATCGGATTTAAAATTTATAACTTTTGAAACGGTGTTAAAATTATTATATACCGAGAAAATGTTTACATTTGACTGGGGAATTTTTGGGGTGTACTTTTATTAAAATAGAATATCTTTCAACAAATAAGCCGTCTTGTATATTTTGAAGCTTAGGGGTATAGTACGAGCAAGAGATATAGTATGACTTTAAAGTTTTAAAGACAGCCGGTAACAAACAAAAAAAAAACTAAGGAGACTGATACATCACCTTTAAATTAGTAGAGGAGCATTCAAGAGATTGAGTATACTTATTTTATTTTTACTTCTCTCGAAAAAAGGGAAGTATTGTAATCGTGAACATTTAGATTTTCACGTCGAGCCTAATTGTGAGAGAATGCTCACACACTTTCCCCATAGTTGCAGAATACGGCTCCTATTGTACGCGACTCTTTTCTGATATGTATTAACAACGGAATTTTTAAATCGCGGAAATCGTGTTTTTAAGTTTTCCTTAGACAACCCAATACTATCGTACAAAGAATACAATTAGCTTTAATTTAAGATTTATTTAAAGCTGGTAACATGGTTACAGGGTCAAGCAAAAAATTATCTTCTTTTAACCATTTATATACTTTCAAATGATGCAATTTAATAAAGAGGCGTAAGTCAGATTATTGATAGGCAACTAAGATTTATTGATTTTTACAATATCTTTTTAGTTGACTATGTCTAATCAATATTAAAGATGGGGTAGAACTTTCTATAAAGTTTGGATGCAATTTGATTACATTAAATAGTATTTGAAAGCAGTTTATTATTGTTTCTGAGAGACACAAATATTCGAACACTCGTAATAAAAACATTATGTGAATCACATAATATAGTCTTATATGAATAAATAACTCTTATCAATTTATAGTTCCTCCCGCACCAGAAAATTTAGAATTATATTCAATGGACAAAAATAGTGCTTCGTTAAGATACGATTTGCCATCAAACTCTCATGGTATAACAAGAGAGGTTCAAGTCATCAGATGTAACAGTTTATCTTTCAAAAAATGCAAATCTTCGATTTCAATTGTTAAACGTTGCAGTATGTGGCCTAAAAAGTATTGTGTGGATGCACATTATTTGATACCGTTGCAGTCCTATAACATTAAAGTTAGCTTGAAGAATTTAAATACCCCATCTTTTGGCAATGAGGCAATTGTAGAAGGAAAAGCGGAAGACAGAAGTAAGTAACTTTTATGAATAATAATATGATAGATATGAATGTTCAGATCGCTGGTATTTATATATTAAGATATACAATACGTAACGAAAAATTTAAAAGTTTAAATGTTACTCTCTTATTTTGAAAAATGATATCTTGAATATCACAAAATATTTAATTTTCATAAAAAAATCTGAAACACGTCAAGTTTGATTGAAAGAAGACATCTTTACATCGTACCTTCAACTATCATACGTCATTCCTTTCCCTTTTGTCACTCTTACCAATTAGGCATTCCAAACAAAATGTCTACCAGTGGGTTATGACCACACTTTGATTTTCTTTTACTATACGGAGAATGGTCGCACTGCGCAGCTTTCTGAGTGCTTTTTAAAAGGAGATAGAAAACTCCGCCATTTTGATCCCTTATTACGTGTTGCCTACATCTTGGCGCAATATTTTTAATAGGTGCGTTTTAATCATCCTTTTCTGCTTCGGAATTGTCGGTTTTTTTGTTTTAATCTGACAGGTTAAAACGACTAAACCTACAATTCCGGAAGCAAAAGCGGATGATTAAAACGCACCTGATATTTTGCTTGCTGCTGTCAGTGTCAGTGAATATTATTTTTGGAGTTACAGTTTATTGCTAAAGAATCAGTTAGCTCACTCGGACCAGTTGAAAGTTTCAAAATAATATCCACTCCAGGGATACAAATTCAGGATACGCAGAAGACTGCAGTTTTATTATAGGCGGTTGTCATATATTGTATTATCCGAGTTGCGCAGTGTATAAACTGGAACATTGAGATCAAATGTGCCGACGCAGAGTGAGCGATCTGATTCTTTAGCTATAAACTGTTGGGCGTGTCGGACCTCTCTTGTACCGTATAGTAATCAAAAGTATGTAGGTATGACTATGAAGACTAGAGATAAGGAGACGAATCGGCATACTCAAAATACGGTCCCAAAAAACGCATGCTAATTGAGCTTCTATAATTAACCGCATGGGCGCTGGCACTGCATACGTTGTTCAAAATACATGGCTTCTTATGGGAATTATACAAAATAAATAATAAAAATAAACTTGTTTACAGCTAAATAAAGCACAGAACATATTTTTGTATTTATTTCTAAATAAGTCTTGCATGTTTTAATTGATAAATTATTTAATTTTATCTATATAAAATACAAATTAGGTATGTATGACCAAATTCGAAAAGGTTTCTTAATTGCTGAAATTTGATAAGTACAATTTTGTGGCAATTTTTTTTTTGAATTGAACCAATATGTAGTTTTAAGAGTAAAATAAAACACAGTAAACAGATTTTTTATTGTTGTAATACAAGTATAAAGGGAGATTTGGGAATGTACATGGTATTACCTCATCCTTTAATTTCAGCTTTCCCCTTTTTATTTTGCTAACAGTACCATCAGTAAAAATAGTCTCATAATATTTGATATCTTTTAAAAAGTATAGAACAACATCATTCCTAGAAAGTGCTTTATCGGCACTAGGAACGATATATATGCTGCCACTGTTTTAAATGTTTAGTATCCTATAAAAAACAGAGAGTTATTGCAAGTTCACTTAAGGTCAGTCACTATTAGTGCCGCTCTTATTTTGACATCTGAGCATGCGCAGATGTTTATGTTCTAAAACTGACTTTAGTAAGGATTGTGCTTGTCCTTAATTGTGGATGTTTAAGGGCAGCAGGTAGTGGCGACTTTATAGTTTTCGGATGCGATCGCCGACATTCGTATCCGTTAGAAGTTTTTTAATATTAAATATTTAATATAATCGTCATTTAAACCTTCTAAAATTATAATTTCCAATGCCTCTTTAATATTATAGACAACAAAAGAGATGAACTATAATTTAAAGTTTAGTGGCTGGCTTTATAGAAATTTGCAATATCTCTCTATTAAGGACAGGCACAATCTTTATTAAAATAAGTGATCTGCGCATGCTCAGATGTCAAAATAAGAGCGGCACTAATAGTAACTGACCTTAAATGAACTTGCAATAACTCTCTAACATTTACAATGACACAATTGGGGTCAAAAAAAAAAAAAAATAACAATAGCAACTCTTTATCTAACATTAAAACTCTATAAGCAATAAATTTTCTTTTCTAGTAAGTTAAATTTAATGCATAATTATTGTTGTTTGTAAGTCAACATCTATAACTGTAAAATATTATACAGGGTGTCCCAAATTGTTTTACCCATGCTGTAACTTCTAAACCATGCAAGATAATTGAACCGGACAAAAGTCATCCATTATAGTTGGCGATGTACTTTAAAACAAATAAAAATTTGATGACCCACCCTCAAAAACTACCCCACTGGAACAACCCCCTCAAATATTATTAACGACACCCTAATTTTTTTCTGCTCATTTTTGTAGTCGCTACATTTCTCTGTACAACTGTTTTTAAAATTTTGAAATCGCTCCACAAATAACTGAGATTCGTTATTTTTTTCATTTTCATCAAGTTACTTGCTGTCAAATTCATGGTAAGTTTTTTAGTGCATTATAAACAATACTATATCAATCTGTCTCTTGTCAAACAGAAGTGCACTCGATAAAGTTAGCAGTTTTTACTTAATAAAGTTTGCAATAATTTAGAGTTTGTCAAGTCCTAACAAATTATTTCAAAATGCCTAATCTGTTTAGTTCCAACGAGTACACCGATATGATAATTATTTACGGCGAATGTCGCAAGAATTCAAGACAAGCTAGACAATTGTACTATGAACGTTTTCCGAATAGAGCAATTCCCTCAGTTAGAACGCTTTCCAATTTAGAAAGAAGTCTTAGGTAAGGACATTTTCCTGACGGTAAACATCATGGAGGACACAACAGAATGATCAGAAATGAAGAAAATGTTATACACGTTTTGGCTTACGTTCATGTAAATCCACATGTTTTTATCAGAGATTTGGCACTCGAACTTGGAATAAGCAAAAGTAGCATCTAAAGAATATTAAAAGACAATAAATGTCATCCTTATAAAATACACTTGGTCCAAGGTTTACTCCCTAACGATCTTGAAAGACGCCTAGACTTTCTCGCTAGAATGCAGGTGAAACTAAATGACGATGCAACATTCTTAAATAAAATATTATGGAGCGACGAATCACGTTTCCATAATAATGGTGTATTAAATCGTCATAATTTCAATTACTGGTCCCCAACAAATCCCCACTGGGTAAAAGAAACAAGGTTTCAAAATATTTGAGGCATAAACGTATGGTGTGGTTTATTCAATGGTAGGATTATAGGTCCTCATTTTTATGAAAACACTCTAACGGGAATAGGATATCGTGATTTTTTAATCAATACCGTTCTTGAGTTGTTCCTCTTAATCAAAGACGTGATATGTGGTGGCAGCAAGATGGTGCACCAGCTCATAATGCACAAATTGTGAGCCAATATTTGGCAAACACTTATGGAAACCGTGTTATATTCACGCATTCTCCAATTATCCAGTGGCCGGCTAGGTCACCTGATTTGTCGCCTCTAGATTTTTTTCTGGGGTACTATAAAGGACGTAGTATACGAAACAAAACCAGAGGACTTAGAAGATTTAAAAAATAGAATCAGACATGCTTGTAACAGATTTACACCGGCCATGATTCGAGCTGCCTGTACTAGAAATTTATTGTTAAGGTTTGACAAATGTGTGGAAGTGGGAGGTGGGCAATTTGAGCACTTATTATAAGTTATTACTACTCTTTGTTTGTTGATATTTATTTCTTGTCTTCTCCTTTTCTTGTTTCAATGTATTTTTTTAATTATGTGTTACCTAATAAAGTATTTTTTATCATCAACTTGACATACAGTTTTATTTAATTTCTCACTTATTTATGGAGCGATTTTAAAATTTTAAAAACAGTTATACAGAGAAAAGTAGCAACTACAAAAATGAGTAGAAAAAAAAATTAGGGTGTCGTTAATAATTTTTGAGAGGGTTGTTCCAGGGGGGTAGTTTTTGAGGGTGGGTCGTAAAATTTTAATTTATTTTAAAGTATACCGCCAATTATAATGGATGACTTTTGTCCGGTTCGATTATCTTGCATGGTTTAGAAGTTATAGCCTGGGTAAAACAATTTGGGACACCCTGTATTATAGAAACATAAAAAAAATAAACTACATTTCGTAAGTTTACAATAAATATTATATTTAGACATGAATACGTTATTTTACTTACATTAAAAGCTTTAAAAAGACATTGAATTGATTTCTTATGTGTTTTCTTTAGTTTTACATTTGATTTTTATCCTGTTTTACAATCTGAAATGACGTAAATCTTGCTTTGATGTTTTTTGTCACTCATGTTACTCATGTACTCAGGTACTTTTTTTCACATTATTTTGATTTTTTTCATTCATTTTTTAAAAAATCACTTTATTTTACATTGACTTACATAGAAAATTGACCGCGCTGTCATTAGACATGCCAACTACAGTCAATTTCGCGAACTTTATAAAAAGAAGGACGGAAATTTGAAATTTGACAATTGCCGATTCGCCTCTTTCTCTCTAGCTTTCATAGTTATGACCACGGTTTGTGGACACCACGGAGGCCTCGTTACTGTTGCTAAGGAAGCAGTGACGTCATGGACTGCAAAAGTGAGTTGACAAAATATTATATTTGGTGTCGTATATTAGTTTTTGAAAAAATCTAATATTTTCTTCATATTTAGTGGTGTTTATATTTTTATTTTTATTTTAAACTGAAATTAAAGGTTTATAGTAAGATTTTTGAGTATTATTCTGAAAATATCATTCACTATTAATAAATTAATTGCAGCTTTGTCTATCCTACATTTAAAAGCAGACGAGATGGTTTCTTACAAGCTTTAAACATAACAAAAAGCATGAAAAGCCAAATGGCTTTACTAAAAGAACCTACATTATTGAAAAAAGGGTTTTCTACAATAAGTTTTTGGTAAAAAGTAGTTACAAATAATTTTATAGAAGAAAACAAGGACCCCTTGCACTTACATACAATGTAT